AGGGGGAATGAGTGTCATAAGAACATGCTGTTCAAAGGGATCACAAGTCAAACAAAGGCCCGACTTCGAAGGCTTACAGTTGTGAGTATGACACAATATGACTTTACTTCTGATACTTATTTCCGGTGTGTCTTCATGGCTCGAGAATGTTGAGACTACACTTGAAATAACGAAAAAATTAAGTCTGCCATTTCTGACAAACATGTTGACCCTTTAATACCATGAGTGAGTAAGACAGAATTTCTCCTTGAAACATCAATACAACATCGAGCAGGCAATTTATGAGAATGTAGAAAACTATCAATTAGGATATAATTAGTTGATCCATTACCATTTTCTCTGATGTAACATTTTAAGAATTTTGCTACAGACAGTGAGGAGAAATACTAATGAGATCTTAGGAGTGAGAAGATTAAGGAAGTGGCCAAGGGCGGCTTAGCTGAGTGGAAATTTTCAAACAGTCGCTGATTGGTTACCTTATATCTGCTAACTTAAAAACTGCATCTTCTTTGGTTGCAAATTATTCCTTAATCAATAAAATCAACAATCGCGTAATTTGTTCACTGCTAAACCGGAAAAGTTCCCAGCTGAGCCGCACGCGATCTTCACTGAATATTTCTGCCTTGTTAGTACCGTATAACATAAAATTTCAAGGCTATAGTTCGCAGTTCAGTACATGGCTGAAAGTTGCGTTATCAATGGAACGTACGGCACGCCTCAACATCCCTCGAAAAATCTTCTTGATATTGGGGGGTTCCATCATTCCCATTTATAAAATCCTTCAGTTCGCTCTAAACATGTCAGCTGAATCGAGATAAGCTCACTTAAAATAGAAACACGTGCATGGTAGAGAGGCATCCGTAACAGCTTCATCCGTCGTGACTGAAAGGAAAATGCAAATTATATTTCTTGACAGTCTTAAACTGTTCCACAGGCGAAGAAGACGTTGAAGGCAGCTTCCTTAAGCGAAATATATGAAAAGGAAAATTTTACTAAACATCAAAACAAGAGAAAATTAAACGAAGCTGTTAGCCAATTAAACCCATTTCTTTCCCTGAGTGGTAGGAGGAGATGAACGAATAACACAAACAAAGACGTCACTGGATTGATGCAGTAAACAGAAAAATGAGGGGAACAACCGAAAAATTTCTAAAGAATAACGCTCCTAAAAACAAACAACCACCGGCCATACAGGAATTTACTGGGTAACAGGTGATCGTTTAAACATTCCAACATAACTTTTTGTTACTTTTAATGAAATAAAAGCTATTTTTCTATTTTCCACGTGTCTCGCTAGAACCTGACTTCTCTTAAGTCATGCCATTAACGATAATGGTCAGAAAAAGTGTTCTCATAATTTCCATTCTTATTTTTGAAATGTAACGTTTTTCAAAAGGTCTCTTGAACCAAAGAAACCGCTAAAATATTCATTTGTCCAAGCGTGAAAGGAAAGTTTATCGCAAAAAGCGTCATCATACCGAAGAATGCGTTACCAATGCCATTGGTCCCTCATGCTGGTGATAAGCGTAATTTAAGTCTCCTGTGCGTAAGACCACGGAAACACAGAATTGATGTACGCGATACAGAGCTACTCTCCCATTTTTAATTTACCATTTCTTAGAGTCTTTCTTTTCTGCTCCAGTATCACGCAAGTTTAAAGTATTTTACACTGACGTTGTGTTTCTCCTCGAAAACTACTGTTTTGCCTTGGTCCTAATTGTAAATATACTTAGAAATCCTTAGTCCTGGCAAATTAATATAATTTCTGGTGTTGAAAAGCGAAGAGTGTGACACTTGGACCGATTTACGTTTAAATAGAGCAATAAAAACAAACCGCGTTGAAATGTCATATGTTCAAATTAAATATATTCAAAATGCGCATATAAAGTTCAAGCACATTCATATGTCTAACTACTCGTTAAAACCTGTTTTTTCAACGCGGTATCGAGAGTTTATTTTAAGCTATCGAGAAGAAGTATCTTCAAACAGGTTTAACATAATCGTTCTTTCTTCTCTGTGACTGACCACTCATGCTCGATGATCGTGACATCATCTTGCTGTTGCTCATGCAGCCGAGACACTTATTTTCCAGGTCCCAGAAGCACGTTCGGCAGTAATAGACGCCACAGTCCTCGGTGTCACAGTGCAGGTACTTCCTGTTAAGTCCAGTGCCACATACAGAACATCTTTGAATACTGACTCCAACAAACTCGAACAAAGTTTTAATCCAGCTGAAATTATTACACAGAACCAGTACTGCGTCCAACCGGTTGAGTGTTTCATTTTCTTCAGAGAAGTTGTTCATCTTTTCAATGACAGATTTGTAAAACATCTTGCGTTCTTCAAGCAGTTTGTAGTACAGGTAAGCAATGCGTTTTCTCTCCCGTCTGGGGTAAAAACGCGACGCAATCAAACGGCGAAGCCGAAGAATAAATGCTTGGAGAAGGATTATCAAGAGCAGAACTCCTAGAAGAGTTGACAAGATGATGACGTAAGACTCGTTCAGCCTCTTGAGTTTCCCAGCGCACCTACTGGGAATATTGGACAGCGGTTCCTCTCGAGTGATAACAAGATAAAAGTAATGATCTAATAGAATGATCATAAGAGCAAAAATTAAATAAACGAAGTAAAACAGCAAGTATTTCAGCATGCTTCCTTTCTCGCTCTTAGCCAGTTGGCAGCCAGTTGGTTGAACGAATTTCTGTAGCTCGGCTTTTTTCAGCGGAACCAGTAAGTCAACGGCTCCGCTCGACTTGCGCATGTCCTCGATTGACTTGAAGCGAAGCGTGAGGTAGTGATTGTCGAACTCATTGCAAGAAAGATACCACTTGTGATAACTGTATGCTTCGTACAATACAAGTAAAACCAATAAAGGCAACAAGAAAGTTATGATATGGACAAAGTCACAAGGCTCCCCTGCTGCGATAATAGTGTTATTTTTGTCCGTGATAATATCTTCTGTTGCCATCCGCCCAGGGAAACGTCCAATTATTTTATCAATTTGCGATAACTTGTGATAACTCGCGCTGCTGATGTCTTTGCACGTTTCTTTAATCCGGTCGTCTGTGAGGTGATCACAAGCGTTCCTAGGCGTAAGAAATTCACAGTTTGGTGGTTTGTTTAGTTTCGTACATTGGCTGTACATGTTATCGATCTCAGAGGAGCAGATGTTGAATGTGCGCCTCAGAGTACTTATGCAAATTAGTTCAGATGAATTGTTATCTGCAGCATCAGCTGATGACAACAGGGAATAATTCATGTATTTTTGCAGTTCGTGTGAAATGTTTTCGTACATTACCAAACGTTGTACAACAGCACGATTATTTTTATCAACTAGAACAAGTCTGGCTGAGTTACCACTGCTATTGTTTGCTAACTGTCCAGTGTCCATTAGGCAAGCTCTATGAAGGGTGACCAAGCGTACATTCTCAATAAAATTGCACATTGGACCAGAAAGGGCAAAAAATGTGATCAGCAACCAGACAGAAATTTTCCCTCCACATGCAAATAAGCTTGGGAAAACCAGTAAGGCGATGCATTGAAGACGCGTCTTATCGAGAAATCCGAAAATTGTTCCCACAACAAAACCAACTATAAGAGCGGAAACGATGCTTGTGACAACGTGCAAATGAGCCAGGAGAAACAATGTCAAAAATATGAACACACCCAGAAGTAATCCTAAAAATATGCCGAGTAAAATTCGTAACTTCGGTCGCCTTTTTGGCGCAAGTAGTTTTTCTTTGGTCTCCTTTGCTACAAGTCCTGCATCCTTGATGTTCTCCGTAGAGCGCTTGCCTTCTGTATCTATGCTCTCATACGAAGCCATTCTGTTCTTCATATGCTCTTTGGTCTTCCTGATTACGGATGATGTTGGCTTCAGAGTTGTTGAACCACCTTTTGATTTCTTATTTTTGTCTTTCGGTTTCTCGGCCGTTGTTTCATCTTTCCCTCGCTTCTTCGTTGAAGGCGACGATGGTGGTGTTTTGTAATGCATCGGTGTATCGTAGATATGTGGTTCGTTACACTCTACACAGCCTTGATCGTTTGATCGGGCAGGTTTAGGTGGTAAAGCCACGTTGGGGACTTGATAAATACTCGCTTCGTCCTTCGACAGTGGGTTCTCTTGAATATTAACTGCAGCGCCCCCAGCAGCGCGTTTGTTGGTCACGTTTGATTGATTTTTCTCGCCAGATTTCTTCGCGTTTTCTATCGGGTTAATTTTAACCGGCTGGCTTTGTGCTGGTCTAGTCTCTTCCTTCGGTTTACTATTCTTGACCGTCTCTTTCAGTTGGGGTTTTGTCTCCTTACTTTTTTCTATGGGTTCGTAGTTTCCGTCCTCGTTGTAATCTTTATTCGGCGTGGGCTTAGATCGCAGAGAATCCTTCGCAGAAGCTGCTGTCGGTTGATTTTTCGTGTCCACTCGTGGGGCCGCTTTCGTTTCTGTGGACTTTAAACTGTCACCACTCTTATTTAAATTCAATCTGAAAGGCCTTCCAATCGCTTTAAGCGGTTCTTTTTCTGTTTCAGTCGCACTGGACTCTGGTTTCTGTTTCTGAAGTGTCTGGAGTGATCTAGGAACAAACTTTGGCTCCTGTTTATTATCTTTCATTAGATTTCCGGTTTTCGAAACGTCTCGCTTCGCTGGCTTCTCATCATCGTTACAATAATTTCCATCTACAGAATCTTCTACAACTCCTGAGTCCCCCGAAGTTTCCTTTCGTTCCTCTTTCTCTTGTGGTTGTTTCATGTTTCCGGCAAATGGTTTCGGGTAAAGCGGCGTTTTTCTAACTGAAGGCGTAGTTGTTCTATTTTGAAGCCACGCGGGTTTCTTGTCATCTTTTGCAGCAGGTTTTTCCTCGCTATTAGTATCTGTATCAGGACTTCCTGAACCGCTCCCTTTTTTATTATTTCCAGTCAGTTTTGCCGCACAGCTCTCAGGAAATTTTCCTGTTTTTCCACTGTTCAAATTTTTGCCATACATCCATCCGTCTCCTCTTTTACGAACATCGAAAATAATATCACCTTTCTCAACTGCCATCGGCGAGTCTTTGCCACCAAACCTGGCTTCCTTAGCATCGGGAGTAAAATCTTGAGTTATTTTAAGATATAAGCCGTCCATGATGTCTAGAATTTTGATGACAGAGAATTAAAAACGATTTATTTCACGAACGTCGCTGGGTTCTCATTTCGCTCGCTTGTTTGAATTTGAATCCACTAAACAAAAGAGTTGGAAGTGTTGTTTTCATATCGAATCACATGACCGGTTTTCCAGCTGACTTCACTCACGCCACATCTTATTGGTTCTGCTTGATCGCTTGTAAAACACTTGATCTTTAGCTTTCATAAATCACTCAGCTATGGATCTGTTCTGCCAATGGATGATAAATAAGGCATGCCACTTTTAAAAACAATAAATAAACGATATCATTAATTAAAAGCATTTGACACTCAGTGTCATGTTGCCAATTTCCTCTGCAAAAAAGGTTGAAAATTCTAATCGCAATGTGCCGCAATTTGCCAAAAGCTGTGGGTATGTTTTGGTCTGTTTTGGTCTGTTTAATATGATTTTTGGCTACCGGCATGCATATTCATATTTGATTGCAGCAAAGTCGAATCACCTGCGATGCAACTTGTACGGAATGTCAATATTCACCCACTGACTCGGATATCAAGGCACAAGTATTGGAAACGAGTTTTAAACGTCAATTCTAAAATTAGCGACATATGGTTCAGAACACAAGAAATTGTTACATTATTCAGTGTGCCTATCCATGTGGAAATTTAGGGCTCCCAACAAACTGGGGTTGTCCATTTGTTTCAATTTTTAAATCATAATATATCATTTCAAAATTTGCTCCAGGGAAGTAATATCACAAAGTCTCAAGGAAGCAATATTTCTTACCAAAGTGACTACGTGACACCATACGAAAGCTTTGACTCTAATGAGAATTGCCTATAAAACTGAGAAAATCAGCATGTGTATGAACAAGTATGATTTTCATTAAAAAAATTGACTTAAAACTAACTCTAAGTACCACAATAAACTTTTATTTTACTCTCGGATTAAGGCTAGTCAAAATAAAGTCATAATTGAATATCCACATGATGAAATTCTTGAATCTGCTTGAATGAACAACATTACGCCAAACTGATAAAACTGATGACTCACAACTCACTATTAAAACCACAAATTTAGAACACAAAAAAACTAGAGTATATATCCATATAGAATCGATTTAAATGTCTTTGTGTTTGAGCCAACGATGAAGTGTGGTAGTGTCTTTGCTTTTGAAAGGGCACTCTGTGGCAATTTAAAATAATTTCATTATATTTTCAAAATTATAGAGAATGTCAATTAGATTGGCTGAAATAAAACATCAATGCTTGGAAACAGAGACCAAAATAGTTTGGAAAATGATTGAGAATTAAGCTTTAATTTATTGTTGTGAAAATCTGAAAGGTTTGATCAAATATCTAAGCCAAATCAGCACCAGTGATGAACTCCAAAATCAAATAAAAATTCTTGATCCACAGTTCGCAAAATATATTTGCTTAACTCTTACTAGCTCAGATTGCTCAACATACACTCCCTTAGGGAATGAAAAGTTACACAATCCTGAAGGTGATGACTTTTGTACATAATTTTTGCATGAAACCTCTTCTCAGGACAGGCATTCTCATTTAAGTACAACTTAAGTTCCAGTGTGAAGATTGTGTTTCTTTGAAAATGAACCTCTGAAGGCTACTTCCTGAATTGATAATTGTTTCAAATTTACAAATTATTTTTTTCTCTTTTTTTAAACTGGATAATTCTGACATTACTGATCCACACAGCACATCATTATGGAATGCCCTACTCTGTTTAAACTCTATACGTGATTTCACACACATACACAAGCCAAGCTACCTCAAGAGGAGGAGCATCTGACTTCAATGCCTGAAAGTTCTACCACTTAATTATGTTATTTCACAAATAATTCACCCCTAAGCATTGTTAACTTTTAAGTCTTTTCACCTTCTTCATATCAAAGGCAATGAGAGTGGGGAGGGAGGGAGGGAAAGGGGTTCATCACTAAGACAGAGAGTTCTTGAAAATTTCCAAAATCCCATTTATCCATGAATATTGACAGGCAAGAAAAAAAAGACTAGTCTTCGTCTATTCCTGTTGTTAAGATTATTTAGCTACATATTTTACTTTGCAATTCCATTCAGTTCTGAGACATATCTAACAATTTTCAGTAAGAATTAACTAGAAAACTGATCCTTTGCTTTACAGAGGCTATATGCATCAGGCAGGTAGGTACCTGATTTATGACAACATCATCACACTGAACTACTAGGGACAATAGAAATGCTTCACCAGTACGTAAAATTTCGAAAATTCGCTGATTTATACCAGGGAGTGTGGTTATCGAAGAATAAAATAAATAAATTAAAAAAAAACTATTTTATTTCCAAGTAAATTCATTTTGTCTTTAGATCAAATAATTTTGACACGAGAGAATCCAAAGCCCTCGAAAAGAACGGTTTTTGGAACACAAGGATTCCTTAAACTACGGTGTATAGTCATTTTATGTTAAAATACATCAAAAGAGTGAATCCTTCGGTCAATAATGATTAAGCTTCTCTCAAGCTTTTGTTTATCTTGCAGATTTTTCCCTGGTTTTACGTCTAAAGCGAAATAAAGCATCAACGATCAAGACCTTCCCTCTTACTACTGAAAATACACAGCCCTTATAAAAAAATTGGAAGAACAGAGTAGGGAAGGCTTGGTAAAATTATGAACACCGAGGAAATACATGTGGAAGCCACGCGACATAGGATTACAGGCGATTCGAGTTGCCAGGCAAAAATAACATTATGGAATGATCAAAGACTCTATTTTTAAGATTGGATCGTAGAAAACGTTACAAGCCTTAAATAGACAAGTATAATCAAAGATATGTCGAAAAGTCTTACCTCCAGCGCGGAAAATGTTTGACGCCCATCGAGAGACACAGCTGTTGTTTCACTATGTTGTTGCATGCACCTGCATAGCAAGAGCCCGCGAGTCGAAATCAGCGCTAACATGGGAGGACATGTGAAATAGTTGAAGTCTGTATTTTTTTCAAGATGGCGTCTGGACTTGCCGTAGACATCGCGATTGAAAGTCTGCTTGAGAGTGAAGTGGAAGAGATCTCTAGGGATGGACAAGAAAAATATGTACCGTAAGTGCTGTTCGTTAGAATTTCAGAATTCAAATTTGGCTCTCTGATTCTGATTTGACAAGATTTCCACAGACAATAGGCCGTCAGAAAGCTTTGAAAGTACAACATTTTTTCCTGCAATAATTTTGTATACATTTAAAAACCTTTTTGAGGTATCAAAACGATATTCTTGAAGGGGGTATCTAACTATTATGATCATTCAACTCTCAGATTGATATAGCAATACACATCGTTCGAGTCATTTTAGGAGAGAAGATGTTTAGAACTTGTTGATGTGGAGAGTAAGGATTGGGAAATAAATTAATTACTGCTCACATGGATGTGTTAACACTTACAGGCAGCTATCCATGTCAGAGAAGCTGGCCAAACTAGCGCACAAGATAGACTTTTTATCAGATGTAAAGGGGCACAAAGAGGATGTAGACAAAGAAGATGATGAAAAATCATTGGTAACATTTCAACCTTCTCTGTGGCCGTGGGATTCTGTTAGGGAAAACTTGAGGTAAATATTTTTTCAAATATATGTTTACCATTCTACTCCAAATATCTAATATATAGGGTATTAAATTCTCTATCTGTTCTATATTTACCTGTAAATTATTTATAGAGTTAGGAGTTGAGTCAAGATAATGCATTCCAACCAATAAGTTGGACTGCTATTATCATAAGATTGCTGAATGACATTTGAGAACAGTGAAGAGAAGTTGCATTTTAATCACTTTTGTGGAGGGATTGGACTACAACCTCTATCGGGAAAAATTCTTAAGACACTCTTGATAATTGAAATATTTAATGGAAAAATTATGCAAATGATTGGTTTCTCAACAGGAAGTCCTTAACTGAAGTCTGTGTATTATCTGATGTTCTGAATGTGGTGCGAGACAAGAAATATTTAGTATTGGACCCAGTCTCACAAAACCAAGCCACTCCTAAGCCAACTTTGTCTTTGATCACTAAAAAGAAGGTTAGAAAATGGAATTTACTCAGAAAATGTCTCTGGAACTGAATTTTAATCATCTTATGAGTGGATCTTGGACCTTTAACTTTGGAGAAACCAGCCAGAGTAGTTAAAATTATTTTGTTGGTTAGATCGCAGGCATTTACTCACATGTATACCTATAAAAGACAAGAACAAGGCCTAAATTCAAGTTTTTTCAAGATTTGAATGTCACTTTTGTGTAATTTTGTGTGAGCATGTTCTTGTAGTGTTTTCAAGTTTCTTTAATTGAACAGCTAGCTCTTCTTGCTTGTGTTGGTGTCGTTAAGTGTAGTTTATGAATGGTTTCAAGTTCAAACAATTTCCTACTATAGCTGCTGTACTTTTATTTGTGTTTTCCTCTATTTCAGAGATACATGGTGTATGTTATTGTTCTTAAAACTAAGAGAAAAAAAGAAACAAATTTGACCAGTTTTCATAATTTTAGCCTAAAAGTAATTTTAAATGTCAATATAGATATGCATTGCTTGACATATAAGACTCTTTGTCAAAGGAATGATCAACAATTGTCTAATTTGTTCAGGGTCTTTGTAATGCTGCTGATATTCTGCTACGAGGAGCTCAGAGAATGGAAGATGCAGTCAAAGAAAGAGCTGATAATACATCAAGGCACCTAGGGAGCAACGCAAAAGATTTCCATTCTGAACTTATGATGCTTAGAAAGAGGTGGAGGTTAAAAAGAACAGGCACTTCTATAATGGGGGATTTGACATATCGCTCAGGTTAAAAAATCAAAGAATGCGTACTTCTGTGTTTACATAGTAATTTGTAGACAAATACCACTTCATTATTTGTAAGCAGTGTTAACCCTCTTAATCACCCTCAGGAGGGATCAGCACTTGTGTTCTCTGTATTATTTTAATACACAGTTTACTAAACAGCCAATGAGAAGGAGGTCAAAGAGGTGAAATCAAAGATTAATATTTGCAATAAAGACTTGGGTGTTTCTTTTCATAGCTGGCTCACAGTTCAGAAATCCAGGATTGTTTGAGGTTAACAAAGCTACAATAGCTGAAGATAAAACAGAACAATCCACCCCAGACAATAGAGCTTTGGAGGTGACTGTTGGAAGTGATTTGGAAGGAGCAGCAGAAATCAGAGTGGCTATTGTGGAGTCTGGAAAAGATCTACAGATTGCATCTGTTAGAGGTAATACTTTGTTTGGTTTAGGCAATGTATAATTAGTTATTTTTACTTTGGCTGTTTCACTTCTGTAATAATAGTTAACTGTAAATATATGAAAATCATATATTTGAACTGTGGATAAAGAAATGATTATTGAAGTGATCTTCACAGTAATGAATACTACTTAAGCAACAGTGAAAAGAAAGCCTGAAAAAAATTCAGGCCAGTATGGAATTTGAACCCATGACCTTTGTAATACTGGTGCAGTGCTCTAACAACTGAGCTAACAAGCCCAAGAGAGCTGGTCATTATGTTGATTCTGAATAAACTGTGAAATGATGAATAAATACCGCTAACCGACTAAGTGTACTGGAGTGGTATTGCAGGTGTATTTGGAACCAAAATATGAGGTGCATAACACTGAGTTTGCTATTACTAATCCCATATCTCACAAGTGCCAATAGGATAATTGTTTTTTAAAATTTAATTGAATCTTGAATACTTGTGTATTTGGAGCCTTTTTTCAGCTCAGCAACAGTTTGTGTAATGCATAATTTCCATATAAGGTGACTTGGAATATGAGCTGATAACCGCAGTTGAGTGATCCCATTCTAGAAAGCAAAATTGGGATTTAAAAATTTAATGAATATGCACACGAGTCTTGAGCAATGTAACATCATAGTCTCTTGCATGATGCAGCATACTCCTTTTCAGCTGGTAACCCATAAAATTTACTGCCTGTAGTAGCTCTTAGAACCTCCTAGCATTACTTGGAATTCTTGAAAATCTAGGATGACCTGGAAAAATGATTGCTCTACCTGATGATTTCTTTGACCTGCTATGCTTAAAATAAGGGAGAACAATGATGACAATATTATCAATTTTGCCACTCTTGGAACAAATGGCTGCTTGTTTATTACTGTATTGGCTTCCCAAGCACAACAGTTGAGAATTCATCAGACAACCCCTTGCATGTCTGAAAGTGTGTAATCTGCTTTTCTTTTGTGTCTGTAAGGTTTGATGAGTGGTTGCTATGACAATATGCCAACAGTTATTCCATCGTGGCAACAGAAGCTGGAATCAGCTCAGTCCAACTTATTTTGCAAAGAGTTATTTATGCAGGTGGGAATATTGTATGGACATACTTTGATCATCTAAATTGCAAAAAGAAGAAAAAAACACTCAACTGCAAGCAGACAATTTGTTGTGCAAAGCAATAAGTTCAATGGTTTCCTAGCATTTCTACAGTCCAGTTGGTATTTTTCTAATGGAGAGTGATAAACATGAGTTGTTAAGTTGTCAAGATCGAGAAACATAGAAAGATTGATCCTCTAAGAAAATGTGTAATTTAAATAAGCTAGGAAACTGTAGTACATGTCCTCTACAAATCTATTCAAAAGCTAGTAATTTGTATTTTGCATTCAGACCCACATCGTTGCTGTGTAGAGTATTCTGGTTCACTTCTTGTTTTTTTTCTCTGACTAATGAGGTTTCAGCCTGTGGTCTGCAGGTGTACTCCCCATTTTTTTCCTTTTTTTTATCCTGACTCTTTCTGGTATAATTCAGAGATCTCACAAGAATGAGATCTCACAAGAGTTGAATTATCAAGTTAATTTTCCTTGGCCTGAGCAAGTGCAAACTGTCTCCCTCCAACATTACACTGAGTAGAGTACATCTCATATTTGAATTTTTTACATGTTCCTTAATTGAGTAAAAGCTCTTGCATTGTCAAACATCGTATAGACTTTGAACAACGCAACTTAAATGAGCCTTTGGGAGTTTGATCCTGATGGATGGTAGTGTTATATGTTTAACCCTTTAACTCCCATGAGTGACCAAGACAGAATTTCTCCTTACAATTTCAATACAGTATAGCAGACAAGTGATGAGAGTAAAAAATATTAATTAGGGGATTATTAGTTGATCCAATACCAAATTCTCCAAACTAGCATCACAAGAACTGTATGGCAGGCAGTAAGGAGAATTACTAATGAGATCTTGGGAGTTTTAGAGTTAAGTGTCCATAAACATTTATGTGTGTATACATGTTCATGATCATAACAGACATTTTATGCAGCGTGTCACTTATTTCTCTGTTTCTCTAATGAACAGCTGTCTCAAGGAGCTTACAATACTAAAGAAAACCGACCTCACTTTGTGATGGCCAATGAAATAAGAGCTGAGGTAGGGTTCCTTTTTTAAACTGTTAAATTTTCCTGTGGGGAGGCCAATTTATAAAACAAGAAAACTTAGTTTCATCTGTAGGAAGAGTTTTCACATTATTGCAATTAATTTGAATTATTTTTATAATAGATTTTTCCAGGAACAGATCTTTGTATAACATACAGCTGTCGGAAAAACAGTTCAGAAGAAAACTCTTCTAAGGTAGCAATTGCCAATATGTGTTTCCTAATGTATATTTTAATGTTGATAGGATTATTGACACCAGTTAGCGGTGCATGTACTTATTAACCTTTCACTACTAGAAGTAATTAACATAGAACTTTTCCCTATAATAGTCATATGTTATTCAGGAACAGATAATGAGAATAATCAAACTTATAGGGTAGAAGTTGTTATCTTGATCTAACAACAAATTCTCGTAACTAATTTACAAGGAAAAGTGGAGCAGCTAGAGGAGAGAATTAACAATCAGATCTATGGAGTTAAGGGTTAGCAACACACTCAGACTTGTCTATTGAAGTAAAATAATGCAGAAAAGGTGACAGGCTCTACAAAGAAATGATTTTGGGGCGCCTCTTGGAAGAGAGATGATATCGCTGTGGGTCTGCTCTTAAAATTTTATTTCACTTCTTTGCTAGAGCAATCCTCTCTGTTGGACCATGTGATTTTAAACTCTTTAGCAAAGACTTGACTTTTACAGGGTCTGATTAATCCAATTTTATATTTATCTGTTTACATGCTCGGATGCAGAAATATAAATTGTACTGTCCCTATTCAGGTGGCGCATAAGGATAAAGCACCTCGTGCTTACTCTCTTGAGTATTCTCTTCACTCGCTTCTCAGGAAGCAGCACTTAAAGGCACAGTCATTGCAGACACCTCGTCCTGTTACTGCATATCCCATGCAAGGGGGCAGCAAGAGGCTGTGTCTTGCTGGAGCATCAGCTCTAACAACTTCTGAGGTAGCACCAAATCTACAAAGGTATATAGAATTTAGTATTAATTTTTTAAAACTGGCTAGTCTTAAGTGCATTGAGACCAGTTTAAAAGCCCCAGAGGTAGGTCAGAGGGCCAGTTCTTTGCCTTAGAATAGCCTTAGAATGCTAGTCCTTTGCAACCACTCTTATGAGCTCAGAGTGGAGTTGTTTTTTGTCACAATTACACCCTTCAAAAACATGTTATGTTGAAGTAAATAAATATGTGAGAGAGCAGTTAGACACAGACACTGAGAATATCATTGGTAATATAAAACGCAGCACAGTGACCAGGGAAAGTACCATTCTCTTTCACTCTTTGACCACACCCAGCCAAGTGTACCGAGCTTTGCATGGCCTTTCTTAACAAGCCTAAAGTTATGTATGCGTACTTACCAATGTTTTTAATTTATTAAATATTTGTTTAAAAAGATTGATATTCTTGCGCTTGTGCTAAGCTTGATTTCTAAGTCTTCTTTCACTCTTACAGTGAGAGTCTTTTAGAAACTGTCCTAAAAGTCTCAAGACACAAAGTTCTTCAGAAAAGGTATGAGTTTCACTCTTGTATTTTAAGTGTAATTTGATTGTTTCACTTTACCAGATTGTGAATTAGGACAAACCACATTAGCGTTGATACCTTCTGTAATTATTCGAACGTAACATTGTAGAGAACATCTAGACTCTTTCACACTTAAGAATGACAAGGAAGAAATTTCTCCTCTCATTGAATTTGAGGAAAGGAGAACATCACAAGGGGACATTGTTTGATTTCAAACCAAATTCTCTGTATTAAGATTGTAAGAAATTTTATAGCAGACACCGGGAGAATTTGTATATAGATCTTGGAACTGAGAGGGTTACGTGTTGTTTTATTGATTCAACAAGCACAATTGCCATTTAACCGTTACAATCCACAATAACCAACATCGAAAAATACTATGTATTCTAAAGAGTATATTTTTTTTCACACGTTGTGTCTTGATGCCTATTATTTGGATATTTTTTCGGCAGGGCCGTGGAGGTGATTGATGATCTGAAGTCCAGACTGAATGATCCTTGTATTACATGTCATTGGAGCACTGTAGGCAGTGACACTAATACATCAGCTACTGTTCACATCACTTCGCCAGAGGTTGGACATCTCGCTAGGTACGTAATTGGCGTCTTAATAATTACTTTGGCGTGCAGAGAATGCCATTTAATTCTGAGGCTAAGTTATCAAGTCAGGGGTATGCCCCGCCTGCGAGGCAAGTGGTTTCTGAGTGCTGCTCCTCGTCCCAAACCTCAAGCGACTTCGCCGTTCGTTTTCTCTGCGCTGCTCCTAAACGGTATTAAAGCGCGCACAAAACACGATCACCAGAATCAATTGTGAGCCATTCTCTCTCTAAGCGATTGCGCGCGACTGAGGAAAAACAGTTACAAGAATTCTGATTTTGATCACGCTGCATGAAATGTATTTGTCCAGGTCATCATTCCAGTTACGCGTGGGAGTACGAGGAATTCGTGTAGTGAGTGCTGATGGAGAAAATGTTGACCTTCCCACCCACCCTCAGGATTTAGAAGACTTCATCTTAAGTCAGGTTGGCTTGAAGACTTGCTTGTCACTGTCACTTCGTGAATCAAATACATCATCGTCCTTTTGGTAGTTGAGCTGAATTGCAATGTATTCAAATTCCTCTTTCTGCAGGTTTGCAATCATCGCTTATTAGTGGCCAAGTCTCTGGCGCAGAGCCTGGGCTGGCACGTGATCCATTGTAGTCGTCACGTGGGCACTGGGGCGAAAGAAAGACAGGGTCATGTGGGTGGACTGATGGTGAAATCGCCAAATGGAAATAAGTAAGAATTAAAATTTGCGCCCAGCTTGTTGTAGTTTTACATTTGACAAAGTAAGAAACAAGCTCAGGGTTGTCATTAAAAGCTGTTCGGTGGCGGCAACCCAAAGATCATTTTGTGCCGGCTACATACACAAGTACTTTGGCGTAATAACGAAGTTGTCCTTACAACTTTACTGAGACCCCAATTATAGTTTCCATATCATCCTCCAAAACAATCCGAAGTCATTCGGGGCGCTAACAAGGAAAGAAATGCCAAATGGTTACCTCAGGGACCACGTGATTACGCTACCACAGTCTCTAGACTTAAGTTTGCACATACTTTTTTTTTCCATACGATTGGTTGGAGCGACTTTGTGATTTCGAAAACTGAAACGATCGGGAAGATCGGGCGATCTTCGGGCGATCGTATTGAAATCGGGCCTCGGAGGCTACTGAGTATACAACTCGGACACCAGCTTGAAGAGGCGCGGATATTCGAGACTTAGTTTAATCCTGAAAATTCGATATCTCTTTTGTAGTGTCTTTTTGTCCCCTGCGTTTTGATTTAAATGGAATGAACACTTTTGAAACCACTGAATAATTACGTTATTCATAAATTTTTTTCAGAGCTGTCGCAGTCCGCACAGGACCAGCCAGCGGTGTGAGCGTTTTGGTCAGGCGCCCTCAGCTCCCTAATGGCGTGGCGCCCGAGTTACTTGGCGACATGAACTGGGGGTGCCTGGGGGGAGATTTTATGGAGGTGCACTGGTCAAAAATGCCAGGAAGAACTTTTGTGCAAAAAATATTCTTACTGTTAGCTATTGAAATGTACTGATATCTGAGTATATATTTAGTACTTGTTTACAGCTACAATAGGTGAACAATAACAAAAAGAAGATCATGGTAGCTGATAAACTTGTAATCAAGGTCTTATTTTATGCTTAGAAGGCTCCATGCTAAGCATCAAGAGTGAATCACCTGGTATTTTCTGTTCATGATCTGATAATTGACTTTTGATTATGTACAGTGAAATATAATTATAAAAAAAGTTAAGTCATTAAAGTCTTGCATTGATGTTGTGATAAAGTGAAACATATAGGATATTTACTCGTAAGGCGGATGACCTGATGGCAACTTTTTGGTCGAAGGAAACTTATGGTATAAACTCCTTTGAGTACTAGAACGAGAGAAATATTACGCGCCCTTTGGCCCACCCGGAGTAGCTGTTAGAAAAAGTGACATACCGAGGTGCCACACATGAAAAATTTAATGAAGGGTAGATGTAATTGGTGATTTTAACCCCTCTCCCCATCCCTTCCTTGCTTGTGGCACAACGAAGTCAATCATTGCAGTTGTTAAAGCCAAAATAAAAACCAATTGTCAAGTTATCTAGCCGCCATTTTCTTCAGGTCATCATGCAAGGCTTCATAAGGCCTGACCGACTTGACTTCCATGTGTACACAGTCTCCCATCTGCCTCATCATGGGCAGGTCAAACGAAATACGATCCACTTCGTACGGACTCTCCACACATAACAGGATGTATACCTACAACACCAGAAAGTTCATAAACTATAAGAAACATGCGCAGACTATCATTTACTTAAAAGGCGCTTGAAAACTACTGAACACTTAAACAGCCCAGCCTGCCACTAGTCTCCTATTACTTGTCGGTAGAGCATTCGAAGTACTCATCGGAGGGTCGTAGGTTCCACACCTATTAGGAGCGCGCACTTGGAGTTCTTTTACTCAGAGTATGCCTTGGCCTGTGTCACTCACTGAAAACACCATCTTTTAACTGGACACTGATCGCACAATTTGAACCATTTTAGAAAGACTGTTACCAAAAGGGGCCACGATATCACATCGATCATTAGCAGCATCAACCAAATTAGATCTGTTTGGTTGTAGGGAAAGACTTACCAATATTGATTGAATCAACGATTCGAATGTCATTACTGTTTTATCCGAATGTATCAACTAGAATCACCAAATCAATTTAGAGGCCAGCCAACTCAAATTTTATAAAAAAACACTTTTTCAACGGACCAAGCAAAGAAATACATCCTTCTTTCTACCTCGAACAAAGACCAAAAGAATGAGGCTGGGGAGTGGAAACGAGCCACGATGTCATTTACAAAACGTTCAAAATATTCTGTTGGTCAAAAGCTAATTTAGGCGGGAAAGTTTTTTCTGTGAGTGCGTGATGACGTTGAGATGCGTGAGAAGTGAGATGCATGAGACGTGAGATGCGTAAGTTAAAACATGCCTTAGTCCCAAAGGTAAGCTATTGTTTTCGTCGTTGTTTTCTTCTATCAAAGAACAGGATGCATCATGAAGTATGGAGTTGTGTGAATACTTTGCTTACCTTTCTTTCTCCTACCACCTTCCACAAGTCGACCACCTTCCCGCTTTTCTTTCCTCCTAAAGCAGCTTTGGCCTCCTGTAACCAAACGGCCAACAACTCGTCTTGCGTCTTACCTGCATCAATGAAACAGAATTCAGCGAAATGTAAAACTCGCAGAAAATATTTTTATTTGATGAACTACTCCTGAAGGATTCTCTCTCAGAAGCGCTCCAATGCTCCACTAGTGTGCCATAGAGAACTCGTTGCTAGGCTCTTGTAAGCCATTAAAAGACGAAGCATTGTGCATTGGTGTGATGGGATTAAAAAAAAATAATGGTATTTTAACAATGAAACACATGCTTAATGAAATGAAGTCACTGAAAAGACGAATAATATTTTTGTAGTTTACGACGAGGTAACTAATGTGATGGCCTTCCAAACTTACCTGGATATTCTATAATAAACGTTATCCAGTAGAAAAGTCCTGCTTTCGGTACAGTAGGTATGTCTTCAAACACCGTTTCATCCCCATTATTAACTCTTTTACTTATATCTGTTGCTAGTCCCGCGTAAGGTCTGAGGGGTGTCACCTCCATTTGTACCTGATCACCCATCTCCTTAAACATTGGCAAATGAAATGACAGCCTATCGATTTCATCTGGATTCTCTGCTTTCATAACTGGAAACAGATTAAAATTTCGAGGGAGCGTTCACTTACTGGAAGTTAAATTTTAAACCAATTTTCTCCAGTGAGTTTATTTTCTTCACTTACCACAAAATACTTTGCGCTCTCCCACCAACTGAAAGTGTTAAACCAAAACAATCATTTACATCAAAATATTACAAAATTTAATCTCTTGTTTACGTCAAATGGCAAAAAGGAGTGATAAAACATAGCTATGTACCCTTTTCATATATAACTTGAGACAACTTTTGACAGTTTGCGTCGCATTCTTCTCTGATTTGAAATATGTGAAATTTTATTTCAATGTCCCGAAACTGACCTTTTACTGCCTTTTAACTAAGAGACCGAGAAGCTAAAGAGACCGTTTTTTGCCCGAGTAACTCCTAAATATCCACAGATCTTTGGTGTTACCAATGACGCTCTTATTTGTCTTTGTCGTGCTCAAACAAAAAAGTCATAATGCCGATGGTTTGTTCTGAACTGATTTTATTTGATCAAACTCAACAAGATTTGGTTCCCGCTCATGGCACGACGACTCGCATGAATGATTTCGGTTCGATAGACACTTTCAGATATTATTGTTCAAATAGTATTTTTTTCATCAGAAGTTTTGTAATTCCCTGACACAGAGAGGCATTTTCCAATGATTCATTATAGGCTATTATTTCCAGAGACTAAATTTGTATTGTCCCAAACTTGTACGGACCCGAGGTTATGGAGGGTCTGAGTTTTCTTTGTTGTGATAAATTTGTGGTTAATTACTAAGACCTTTTGGTCTTTTTGGGAAAATTTGAAAAACAGTAGTCGGTCAGTAAAGATGAACGACTCAGATGTTTCAAAAATATTCCTACCTTCCATATCTGTAGTATTTTTCCCTTCTCCTTCGCTTTTAGTGCCACTTCTGCTTCTGCTGCCCAAGTTTTGATAAACTGTTCTTGTGGTATTCGTTTGTACTCAATGGTAAACTTTATTAAGTACAGTAAGCTCATTTTAGAACCAAACGCTATTGAACGTAAGAACAGCGTAGTTTTCAGGAACTCCCGTACAACTTCTGTCTGGTACTTTGGTATTAACTTTATTCCATAAAATTCGCTGTATTGAACTGCAATATTTTCTCCTACAAAAGATGCTAACATATTCAAATTACGCAAATCAACTGACAGGGATAATTAATGAATTTTTCTGTAGTTAGCATCATTAGTTAAATAGATTGACATACCGGCGGATTGTCGCTGATTGCGAGTTGAAAGAAATCAGAAGTTAACGCTAAATGTGTTCTGTAGCTCAAATTAGGCTTTAAAATAATAGGGAACTTTTCAGCTACGTGCTTAGCAGCAATGTAAGTTTATTTCTCGGAACGCGCAGTGACGTAAACGGGGTCAAGTGCATCGAAGAAAAGCCTATTGGATTTTACGTGCAAAAGTTAGTTAGTTTAGTCGGCTCAGAGCAAAGTGTATTATTTGGAGTAATACAAGATATCAATCTCCTCTGGTTTATGTTGTGCAAAGTGAATCGCTTTTTCCTAATACTCTCGATACGCACAGCACCAGGCACTGTGCGCGTTAGACCAGAAGATGTGGACTACTCAGTTTTTTAATTGAAAACGGTTCAATACGCGAACTCGGAGAAAAATGTGATTCAAATGTGCTCGTTACGTCAGCTAAAATATAAATGAACTCGAAGCAATTAAAGGGAGTCAGATGAAAGGCTAAGCAAAAATTCCTCTACTAGTGGGGACAATATGATAATGAACAACTACAGATGGCGCCTAACATGAACTTACACGGAATCGAATTCCATTAATTCTTGACCACAGAGATAAGTCGTATTTTTCGGCTTTCTTTCTTTTGTTTCATGTTATTTTTAATTTTTCTGCAATGGCCCTGTTTTGCTCTTTCAGCATTAAAACGGCCGCGTGGATATAACCCTAATGATGTTCATCGGGGGTATCTGGTACTTAACCCTCTCAATAATTGTTTTTATATGTCTCTAACGTCCGAGCCGCCTTCCTTCTTTTACCAATCATTTAAGAAAACATAGCAAGCTGAAACTATCGTCGATGCATTGGCGACGTCAACGACAGTCAAAACTGATTCAAAATTGATCATCGACGAGCGTTAGGAAAATAGAGATGGTCTTTGCTTCTGTCCAACCATCCAGGCTAGAGGAAATGTCTGAGATTAAGGATTAGACTTAGCTTTCAAAATCTAGAACGGTCTAGAAAGCAGCGGTGAAATTCCATTCTTTGGAGTTTTGCCTACAAACGAAAATCTGCTTACTATGAATAGATGCAACATACCATAAGGATCTCTTTATAGATGAAATTATTTAGTCTCGTTCCCAGTGTCTCTCTCCATCCCATTCCCTGAGTCCCTGATATGCCCCTCTTATAGCCGGAGGAATTTTAGAATTTAAGGGTCGCTAACATCATAAACACTTGAGACAGCGAAAGCGTAGAATTTTAATTTGTATTCGATTTACCTGAAATCTGCCAAAGTTTTTTCGCATTCTTAACCATTCATGTCGTATGTATCTAAGAAACATTGACAACCCTTCTTGCTTTCCATGGCTGGCCGCGAATGCAGATGAATTCGTCACTTGACATCTTAAATCTGTTAATACAACTATATTAAGTATCTTAGAGCTCTGACTTTTTCTTAATAGTTTAATACATCATTAACTACGTTCTAAATTCAATTCAGTGCGAGAATGGTTTACAATCCGATGGCCCTATTACATGCTTGTTATTCTGCTAGCTTTTGTAGATCTTTGGCCCATTCCTCTATCGGCCGTATCGACTTGCAATCTATATGGACTTTGCTTCCCATCTTTTTCATGACTGGTAAGTCCAGTGACATTCTGTCAACATCAGTCGGATCATCCACACAGACAACGGCTATAACCTGAAAAACATATCATAAGGAGCGTTTGATGAAATTTTGGTGATTTTCTATGTGCTTATGCACATCATTTGTGCAGAAGCAAGTGAAATGCACCTTAGGCGGCCTTAACGTTTATGAAGACTTGAGTTCACAAAACTGATCTAAAACCATCACAAAACTGAATGACTGAATGGGTTGTTCGCGCTGTGATAATATTGGGCATTATCACACAGCCACAAGTGAAAACAATAGATTAGTCAAATGTTTAATTAAGTACTCGCTTTGTACGTTATCAGTTTAAAGTGATAGTTACTTTACGTTCCGCTACCACTTTCCACAAGTCCAGGATGATTCCAGACTTCTTTGCCTTGAGAGCCTCTTTAGCCTCCTCAGCCCAGACAGCAAACAGGTCCTGTTGTGTCATGGCTTTGGAAAAGATGAAATAAAAGGAGACGAGAAAAGGTGAGAGAAATTGATTATAAGGATTCATCTGATTCGGATAAAGCCTAAAATGTAGCTCGAACCGAAATTGGTGACTCATATGACCGCGAGGTCCATGGCATTATGAGACAACATCTGCCTGCCCATTGCAACAACGCTCTAACCAACCCAACGAGCCGAGTTTACGTACAGATAATCTCTGCATTCGGCGCTCTATTATAATGTCTTTCAAGATTGTCTTCAATGTATATACCCAATCATTACCTATGTAATAAACAGAACTTACAAGTCCACTGGTGGATTCGGTTTTATCCCGAGTTGGTGATATCTCTCACTCGTTCGCCTCGCACACTCGTGAGAGATAATTTAAACACTGGCAGATAAAATTCGTATGCACCAGCGGTCATTAAGTATCCTCTATATCACATATATCTTACTAAGGTCGTATTCCACAGTAAACGTCAGGATGTAGAAGAGGCCGTTCTTTAAGGTGGACTTTTCATTCCCGTATTTTTCTCCGTTCCCAATTCTATCGCTCACATCTGTCGCAAATCCTTCGTATTGTCTCAACGGGGTAAATGTCGAGTGTAACTGATCTCCGATAGCCTGGTAAAGAGGAAGCTCGACAAAGCAAGTGTCCAGTACTGAGGGTGACTCCACTGACATCACTAAATAAAAAACAGAAGGCAAAAGCATGGCCTTAGAGTCAGTTCTTGTCTTCCGTTTTTAATGATGTTTTATCATTATGTGCAATTAAACGATGCGGCAATAAATCACGAAACAGCCGGAGCAAACTGACTTGTTCCATCATTATATTTGATTTTTTTTTTGGCATTGAATAGATTTAAAATCTTATGGAGACCAAAACTACGAAAGAAGAACTCGCGTTTTTGCAAACCCTTTTCTGAATTGTCCAGATAGCGTTTCTAAAACTATTTTGGAGAAAAAGACAGTGACTAAACACGAACTGCGGGCAAAACTACAAGTAATTTTTCAATTCCTGATAAAGCATACATTTTCTGATGATATAGCTCTCCGGAATCGAGCGACAGATACAAGAGGCCCGCTACCTCTACCCGATACTCTAATGAGCCCTCCGTTTCCCCATCGCTAATTAAAAATGGATAGCTTTAACACACGATATTGAGCATTCAGCTTCTTTACTTTGTTATGTGTGGCATGAAAACGGTTTATCTAATTGATTGAGATTTAATTTTATTACCTCCAAGAACTTTTCTTTCTCCAGCTATCTATAAAGTGAAGAGACGGAAATGAATGGGAAACTATTCAAGCTGTTAAAGATATCATCAAGTGCTGTTAGAAGTACTTTCCGATTCACTACAGGGGCGGAAACAGGAATTCTTTTAGTAGGGGGTCGAAACTTTTATAAAGAGGTATCAAAGTAATAAACACGCGGTTTAAGCCCTGTCTTCAGAAGAATTTTGGTTTCAGACAGGAGGTAAAAAACCAGCTGTGGGGTGGGAGAAGACGGAACTCT